AACTAACTACTATCATTACTATTATGTAAACAGATGTTTCACAAACTTCTAACGTTTGGTAACTTCCCTTGAACATTTTGTTGAAACAATAATTTCCCAATCCTCAGGTCACGTAGATTTCTACCCGAACAGTGGCTCCGAACAGCCGAACTGTCTCTTCCAAACATGCAGCCACAGCCGAGCGTGGCAGCTGTACACCGAGTCTGTGCTGATACCGGAAGCCTTCATCGGGGCGCAGTGCTCCAGCTGGAAGCAGTTCATGAAAGGAAGCTGCAATTATAATGACACCAGGTAATTATCGGTGAAACTACACTACTAGACTACGCGGTTCCTCTACAAAAGAAGGGTTCACCATAACTCTTTACTGGCTTGAGGATGCCAGTACAAAGAATCTGGTGTATCAGAGAACGCCAACTGAAAACCAGTGCAGCTAGCTTATACCGAGTTGACAAGCTCCCTCTCCCTCACCCAAGGCGGGAGAAGTCATTGGGTTATTATACGGCCCCTCGAAAAAAGAAGCCCTTTTGCCATGGGCACGTTGTCACCATGTTGTTATTTTTATTATTCTTTTCTATTTCTTTTTCTTTTTGTTGTTTATTGTTTATTCGTTTCGCTCTTTCTGTTTATGGATATGTACATCATGCCTAATTTCTTTCTTTGCCTGTCTTTGTTAAATATCGTCCTTTACAAGTCACCAACGGGTGTGGCAGGGGTGATGACAAATGGCGTTGACATATCCACAGAAAATCTTTCTAAGCCTACCTTTTCTCTCTCCAGCATAATGGGTTACTACTGCCCCACGGACTCCCGCGGCAAGTACGACCTCCAGACATCGAACGAGTCTCCGTACGGCCGCGGAGAAGCAGGACTCACATACGTCAACAACGCCGGCATCGTCAGGAACATCAAATACATAGTCACCGGGAAATAACTTGGCTTAATATCATCTAGACTAGATCTTACCATGACTGATTTTTATGAATAATTATTTCAAATGAATTTGTACTTTATTCCAAGAGTTGTAGTGTTGTTAATTGCAAAGAACAGGTTACAGATAGATCTTAGATACATTGATAGTGTCTTAGATACATTGATTAGTTTTTTTGTAATTTATTTACCAAAGTCACAACTGCGTGTTGCATCAATAAAATGTACTATAATGCATTTGAACCAGTGTCTTTACGTGTAGAAAGTTTCAAAGTGATTTTATTTTAATATTCTGTGTATTCCATAACGATGCTATTGTAGATATTAAGTTATTTTGTAAGTAAAATGTTATAAAACGTTCTAGTTATTATTAAATAAAATCATAAATAATTAAAATTATGAATCTGTAAATGTTGTGTGTTCATGTGTTCAATAAAAATTGAAAAATCACTACATAGGACTTTTATACATTGGTAGGACATGAACTTATTGGGGCCTACCGTGTTTTGGCTTACGCCAAAGATGGCGCTCGCGTTCTTCGTCCAACTTGATCGTCAAAACAAAATATTGGTCAGTCCTCTAGTGGCTCTATTTGCTCGTTCCGAAGCGTAGATTCCTATGAGAAGAACGAGCAAGAAACTCCATAGGTTATTCTTTTTCTATTAGTTTCACAATACAATACCAGCCACAAGACGTTCCACTATTTAACAACTACTGTGGTTGGACAAAAACTCCTTTCTACATTTTGCGCTAGCATTAAAAAGTTAACCCCCATAATAATGTAACTTAAAATCAGTAATAATGCAAAATAATTGGAGTTTCAACTACTGTTATAGTGGAGTTTATACTAAGATGTTGAGGTATATTTTTATTCATCGCTAATTCCCTTGCCATAAAGTCTAACCAATGACAATGATCACGGAGAACCTAACGGGTTACCGGGGCTCCGGCTCGAAGCGCAGGAGAAGGAACGGGGTGGTTTTTAGTCAGTAAGAGTCTGACACTCCCTCCCGCCTCACCTAGGTGGGAGCAGTTATTTGATGATTTTCCCCCTTAAAAAAAACCAATGACAATAATGTTGTATGCTTGTAACCTGTACCAAATATAAGATAGGATAATAAATAAATTAGACATGTAATGTTCACTCGCGAGTTGTTACTGCGATGTATTATGTATTCATATACAATATTGATAATAAATAATTGTTACTTATCGTTATGTTTACTTGTGCAAACTTACCTTTTTCGACATTAGATCATTACTTACCTACATGATGGGCAGTTATAAATCGAAGAAACGTAGCAGTTTTATTTTCCAGTAGCATTTTTTTTATGGCATAAGCCGGTAAACGAGAAGACGGATCACCTGATGGTAAGCAATCGGCGTCGCCCATGGACACCTAGAACACCAGAGGCGTTACAAGTGCGTTACCGGCCTTTTGGGGATTAGGAGTTTGAGGATCGTTGGGGATTCAGGGATTGGGGAGATTAGGGAAGGGGAGGGTAATTGGGCCTCCGGTAACCTCAGTCACACGACGAAACACAACGCAAGCGTTGCTTCACGTCGGTTTTCGTGAGGCCGTGGTATCACTCCGGTCGAGCCGGCCCATTCGTGTCGAAGCATGGCTCTCCCACACTTCAGTCAACATTTTGTACTTCAGTCACTTAAGGGGCCTACTGTCCCCTGTTGAAGACCCTGTCTTGCACATGCTGAACTGGTTCCATTTCACGGCAGACGTGGGACATGAACATGCATCCATCAGTACCTACCAACAATGACTTATCTGTACATGTCACTTGTTTTTTGACGTGTGAAATAATGATTTTGCTTTCATTCTTGTACTGTACTCTTGTAAACTCTTAATCAATCAATTCAGCCTAAAAAAACTAAATAACTTAACAAATATAACGTACATTTCACTCCTAAACAGCAATTTATTTAGAACACTACAAGGTTTTTTTTAAGGGGGGAAAATCATCGAATGACTGCTCCCGCCTGGGTGAAGCGGGAGGGAGTGTCAGACTCTTATTGATTAAAAACCACCCCGTTCCTTCTCCTGCACGTCGAGCCGGAGCCCCGGTTACCCGTTAGGTTCTCCGCGACAAGTACCTATAGGAAGGTTTAGGACTGTCGCTGTTACATTATAACTTAGTTAGGCACCAACAAAATAATTAGTAATAACAAAAAATACTTAAGTATTAAAAATAACAAAATCTGAAAAATAGTTTTATTATTTTTTGTCTTTACAATATACATAAATATAGAAAACAACATGCATATGCATGGGCAAGATACAGCAACAAACTTATTTTATAAAATCTAATTAAACTTAAGTTACACCCGTTTATTAAATGCATCTTTACACATTTTAATTCATAAGTACCTATAACTTATCTAGTAATGTATTTATCATCTAACTTCATAATATAATTTCACACATTATGTACACATTTTTCAGTTATATACTATTTATTTACCTACTTCTTTTTCTAACTGCCTT